ATATCCGGTTTTCGGATATAAGCACCAATGAAATTGTTTTCTTCAATAAAAGGCAGACAGAGACATGAAGCATTTCATTCGCAGACCAGGACCTTATCCGGCCAACATTTTGTCATGTCCGGAGGAGTCCCATGGTGAAAGTGCACGGAACGCATCCGGATTTCGGATAAGTTAGCAAATCAGAATAAAGTGGTTCAGTGTTGAAACGTTCAGTGATCGGAGGCGTGGATCAGTTGTGAGTCGGACGAAATATACCGGAAATAACCTGAACTATCGGTTAAACGAAAAATGGTGTAGTAGTTACTGTCACGAAGCAAGAAACAGGAGGTAGGCGAGGGTGATAGGCGTGTAGCAACTTATCGCAGAGTGTCCAAGACAAACCAAGTGTGCGGGACTGGGGAAAACCAAAAGTGACATTCAGTCGTTTACAAACTATCTAGCTTCGTTCCTATTGGCTAAAACTCAGCCAAAGGGAAACACTGACTTGTGAGAATCAGAGCTCTTTTCCTTGTGCTAGAGCCGTGATTGGGTGAGCAATCACTAGGGTAGGGTTGCGACATGAAGAGTATACAGAACATGCAGGTATAATGCGGTCACTGTCTCGGTCTGTCAGAGTTGATAAACTAGGCGATAGAGTTTGGGAGAAATAGGCGAGGACAAAAGGCGTAAACACAGGCGAGGGAAAATCACCACTTGACAGCCACCACTTTTCACAAGCCGAAAAATGGGCACGCCTTTGAACGGGCAGCAGGACTCACAAACAGAGCAGAAAGCAGACACATGCCACCATGAGCCAATGAGTGTCTGCGAAAAAGGCGTAGGGTAGATGTTGAATAGGTAGGCGTGAAAGGTATAAGTTGGAAAAGAGACATAAGCTTGTCGAGGGAAATGTAGAAGGAAATGCACAAGGCAAAGAGTGGTTAAGCTTGGTAGGCGTAGATGGTAAGGCGTGGATTGTAAGGCGTAGATGGTTAGGCGTGGATTGTAAGGCGTAGATGGTTAGGCGTGAATAAGACAGAAAATATAGAAATAAAAAGTGCGGGAGGCGAAGATGACGTAGACTTGCTAGGCGTAGATGGTAAGGCGTAGGAAGAGAGGAAAGAAAGAAGAAATGTAGGTGGTAGGCGTATACGGTAAGGCGTAGTAAAAAAAATTAAGGTAGGCGGAGCGAAAACTAAGATTGGAGGCGTAGAAGAAGAGAGAGAGAAAAAAAAGACTGGTAGGCGTGAAGAGATAGAGGAAAGAAACAAAATTGGAGTGTAGGCGACGATAGGCGCTGACAAAGAGAAGAAACGAGTAGAGAAAAGAATTTGCGGATGTAGGCGACGATAGGCGCTGACAAAGAGAAGAAAAGAGTAGGAAAATAATGTCGGGGTTTAAGCGACGATAGGCGCTGAAGAAAGAAAAAAGAAAGTGGGATAGGATAGGCGGGAAGGCGTAGAGTTGTGAATAAAAAAAATGTATTGATAGGCGTTTGAGATCACGTAGTGAAGGCGGAGAGGGGAATGATGGAGAGGCGTGATCGTAGGTCGGCAAAGGTGGGTGCCGGAAGAGGTTTGGTGAAGAAGTCTGCAAGTTGGTTGCCAGAGCTGCACCACTTGAGCTGGAATTCGCCGGAGTCCACGAAGTCACGTACAAACATGTAGCGGACGTCGATGTGCTTTGAATGACCGTGAAGTTCGGCATTAGTAGCGATTTTGATGCTGGACTGATTGTATTCATGGACGAGTGCAGGTTGATCGGACGTTTGCTGGAGTTCGGAGGCGAGTTGACGTAGGTATAAAAGCTCTTGGATACATAAGGCGAGGGCAACTAACTCAGCTTCCGTGGTGGACAAGGTGAAAAGGGGTTGCTTATTGGCAAGCCATGACACGGGTGAGCCGAAAACGGGGCTAAAAAATCCACTGTTGCAACGTCGAGTGTCAACGCACATAGCATAGTTTGCATCGACGTAGGCGGATGAGAAAGGAAAGTCGTCAATAGAGGCGATGCCATCAAGGCGGATGCCATAGGTGCGGGTGCCTTTGAGATAACGAAGGGCACGTTGGACGGCAGACCAATGAGTAGGGCCAGTGTTGTGGAGAAACTGACTAAGTATGTTGGAGTGTGTAGGCGAGATCGGGACGAGTGCCCATAGCTAAGTACATGAAGCTGCCGACGACAGAGCGATAGCTCTTTCCGATCATAAAGGCGAAGTCGTGAGGCGTCGTCGCGCAATGGGAGGCGGATAGAGTGAGGCTGGGGTTGAAAGGCGTAGAAACTGGGTTGCAGTTCACCATGTCAAAGCGGTCCAGGATAGCCTCGGCGTAGCGAGATTGGTGAATAAAGATGGTCTTGGCTGCTCGGTTGCGTTCGACTTGCCAGCCCAAAATGTCGGAGACTTCGCCAATGTTTTTCATGGCAAACCGTTGACAGAGGGAGGCCTTCAAGTCGAGGACGAGAGAAAGAGTAGGCGCAAGAATAAGTAGATCGTCCACATAGAGGCTGACAATGGTGAAACCGGAGGCGTCAGACTTGATGAAGACGCAGCGCAGCGGTCTTTGTGTAGGCGGGTGTACTTTTGGGATGTCATGTAGTCGACGAAGGTCCAGTACCATAGGTTAGGCGCTTGTTTGAGGCCGTAGAGGCTGCGTTTTAGGCGGCAAACTAATTCGCGGCGGGAGACGTCGGTCACGAGGTCGCCAGGCGGCTGTTCCATGTAGACGACGCGGTCCATGGTCCCGTTGAGAAAGGCGGTCTTGACGTCCATTTGATGACACTCAAGGTCGTAGATAGCCACCATAATGAAAAGAAAATGGAGGACCTTGAGGCGTACGACAGGCGCAAAAATGTCATCGTAGTCAACGCCTTCGCATTGCAGAAAGCCTTTGATAACTAGGGGTGCTTTGTACGTGCCGTTGGGCTTGATGCGGAAAACCCACCGGCAGGACAGGACTGTCATGGTTTTTAGGCGTGGAACAAGATCATAGGTCTTGTTATCTTGAAGGGACTGGAATTCGTCTTGGGCGGCGGCTCGCCATTTGTCACGATCGGAACGGCGCATGGCTTATAGCCAGTTTTTAGGATCGG